ATTCTTGGCACTTAACTCAGTACACTTCTCTATCTTTAATTAATTTCAAATAAATATGCTGCTGTATTTGCACAAAGATTGTATATTATAACACCTTAGTACATTTTTCATATTACTATTTTTTATTATAAGATTGCATATTGTCGACTTATGAATCGGCATATTTATAAACTCGGCCTTAGAATCCTTACTTAAGCTTTACTTCAATTTTGGATTATCTTATCTATTTTTTCCATATCCTGATTGATCTTAAGTTAAAATATAAGCATTCTTTTTTTACCACTTTTTCAATGTCTTTTTTTTATATTTTCATTTTTTTTGAACATATCCTATTCTTAAACATATCACATGAAATAAAGAGAATAAATTTTAATTAATATTTATGGGGATTTAGCTAACCTATTAAAAATTAGTAGATAGATAGTCTTCTTCTATCAGGATACTTTTCTGAGTTCGATTTTAGATTCTAATTAATAAACGGCATACTTCTCTATACTTCATGAGTTTACGTAGGACAGTTAATCTTCTGCAGATTCAGAATCTTCCTCCGTATAAAAAATTTTGACATTATTTTACGGTAAATATGTCGACCTTGAGCATTTAATTCTGATTATTCGAGTTACTAGGACTTATTGCTATAAAAGATATAATCTTTTACTCTAGACTCACAATATTTTGTTAAAATTTTTTTCACTTATGGCATGTACAGAGTTGTTTTGATGTTGTTATTGTAATTTGTCCGTATTGCGTTCGCAATTTTAAATCCGTCATTTGTGTCATTTATTCTTCCAGCTTGGAAGAGTTGGCTATATTTATAGCTCATTCTCAAATTGTTTTTTTAACTGCATCTTATAAACAGTTTCATTGATCTTATATTTTCGCCAAGGTATTGGCTTGCTATATCTTTTCATCGACTAATTTTAATTAGCACAATTGTTGTTTATTCGTTTACTTTATTTTAAATAATTGTTTCCCTTCACAATGCTTTGTCACTAATAAATTATACTTTGGCCATTACTTATTAAATATACTTATCGTATGATAATAATTATACATTTTTTCATTTATATCTCTTCATCCTTAATAAGGCCTTATTCCACTTGTAGATTGTCATTCATTACTCTAAAATTTTCATTACCTTAGTTTAGCTTCCTTCTCAGACTGACAATATTTGCCAAATGTTTCCTTGATTATCTTTTCCTTAATCCTCCCCCTACGTTCGCTTCAATGGTCGTGGTAATGCCCTTTTATTTCGCTTTTTTGATATGTATTAATTATGTGTCCTTTGTCAATTTTCTATCAAAATTTACGTTGCTACATTTTCGTGTGCATATGTTGTGCTATTTTTCCTTTATTTTACATTTCCCCACGATAAATGCTGTTGTTTGAAACTCAATTTAATATACTTTACTATTGTATCATTTAAGGTAATTTGCTTGTCCTAATTCTCTGCGTCAAATACACTCGTGTATTCTATATTATTTATTTCTTCATTTATTTATTTAATTTTATTCATTTTACTCTATCGCTAAAATATTTGGATTTAACGAAATCTTCCTGGTTATGGCGCATTGAATTAATGTGTCATAAGCATGATTTTGATCGCATCCTTTTCGCTCTATTGACTGCTTTATTAATTTATTTGCATCATTTTATCTCTCTTTTTATATTACCATATTTTTTTTTTATTTGGCCTATGAGTGTCTGGCTTTGATTTGTGCATGTACTGATTTCATACATGTTTTGTTCACTAATCATTCTTAAC